TGACATAACACTTATACTAATTCCACAATCATTCAACTTCAAAAGGTTTACCTTATGGGGTTTGCTTTTTTTAGGTTTTGATACAAATTCGTCCACTCAACAACATGGAACTCAGTGCTCAAGGTTACAACAGGTGTTTACAACAAGAAAGTGCACAATGCCTGACCTGGGTAGGGCATCCAGAAACACGATTTACTTTTGACCATGTTGCTTGTGAAACAATTGACCAGGGACTAGAAATGAACAATACTGAGTTCTGTTTCTACATGAACTTGATTCTCTTAATTGCAATGTGTTACAAGACGTATGAATTTGTGCAGGAAACTCTTTTTAGGATGGTTGGTCTACCAATGGTGGAGAATTGTTTGTCTAGATCTAATAGTTGTATCTTTGCATATGGGCACGTAACATTATTATATGCATTTCTGCATTTTATTATATCCTTAAAATAATATTATACATGTGTTTTAGTTTTCTTGTTTACTTATGTAGACTGGAAGTGGAAAGACACACACAATGCTTGGTGAGATCAATGAACTTGAATTAAAACCAATTCCACAGCGGGGAATGACTCCACATGGTGCAGATTCTTTTGGAGATAACAAAATTTTGTGACCTTTATCTCATGGAAACAGTCTTAGATGATAAAAGTGAGGTCTTATAATTCATATATTTACTTATATTGTGGGTACCATTTAAATACCAATCAAGAATAATCTTAAATTTGGTAATTATTTTTTTTTGTTATGTTGTTGGGTAATTGATACTATTATTTGTTGCAGAAAAAGGTTTTAATTGCATTAAAAAAATGTTGGGATTTTTACATCAGGTGATTTTTACATCCTTGTTTGATATGTACGTGCTTGTGTGTAGGCTAGTGTCAAAAAGCTTGCAGATGTTCACTTTTCCCTCATTTGACCACTCATATTTGGCACAAGTATTTGCAACTAACATTCCTTGTTTGGTTCTTCTATTAATTATATTAGCATATTAATTTTTTGACTTTTATTTGATCAGGTCAAAAGAATTATCAAAGCAGGGGTTCATTAGTCTTAAAGAATTATGAAAGGCAAGATGCAACTCTACTTAGTTGGAATTTGATGTTTATCATCTTTGTGTATATCTTTTTAGTTTGTATAGCATTACTTTGAAGAAGGTGTCCCTTGATACGCAATGTAGTATTAGGTTATATAGTTAGGAAAAACCTCTTAATAACAATGTACAATTAGATCCCGTAATATCAATGTATTAAAATTTTTTGACATGATGTTATTGGATGAAATAGATTGTTTAGGTATATATTTGTTTACATATTTTTGTATTATGCGTAAATGAGTATCGTAAAGACGCGTCGTAAATGCACATTGTAAATGATTACTGAAGTTTATGACACGTAAATGCGTGTCATCTTCATTTATGACAGGAGCTTTCTTGACACGCATTGCGTGTCATTAACACACGCGTCGTAAGGTTACGATACGCGAATGTGTGTCATCTTCATTTATGACAGGGCCTTCCTTGATACGCATTACGTGTCGTAAACGCGCGTCATAACTGCGTGTCGTAAATGAGCGTCCTAAATGCGCGTCGTCTATAGACGACGCACAAAAGCGCGTCGTCTCTCTTTATGATAGGGCCTTCCTTGACGCGCATTTGCGCGTCGTCTGTGCCTTTTACGACACACAATGAGTGTCGTAAAAGGCTGTTTTTCTAGTAGTGTTACCTACCAGTTTTGGTTCTTGTTGGCGGGAAATTTTCTCCTTGCAAATTTCTTTGGATTTGTGATCATCAAGGCATATTCCTCACTTGTAAGCTCGCACTCTGACATGTCTGACTCTTCTTCTTCTTCAGCAGTACTTTTTCCTTTAGAAACAAGAGCCAACGATCCCATACCAGAGACCACTTTCGCTTCCTTAGTTACAACACTTTCATGGGACTTCAGTAGCCCTACTAATTTCGCCAGCGAGTACGATTTGAACTGTTCATGCGCCTTCACAGTGGAAACCACATCCATCCATTCTGGTCTCAGCCCGTTCATAAACGTTACTTTCTGCTCGATCAGCTTCCTCTCTATCCCATGCCTGATCATCTTACTTAAGAGATGATTGAACTGATAAAAGGTCTGTACAAGCTTCTCTTCAGGTTTCTATTCGAAAAATCCAAATTCTGATAGTAACAGAGTTTGAATGGAGTGTTCCAGATCTTCATCAGTTGAGTAAAGTTCCTGCATCCTATCCCAGATCTCTTTAGCAGTTGTGCATGAACCTACAAGCCGAAAGGTGTTAGATTGCACGGCGAATCTTATCATCTGCATGGCTTTTACGTTACACAAAATCTTGTCCTTCTCATCCTGTGGGATCTTTTGAACATCTGTCACCAACTTGTTGTAATCTTTTTGCGTCTTAACAATTGTGTTTGTCTCCGAATGTACAAACCGTCCAAGAGTGATAGCTTCCCATATGAGATAGCCATTCTCTTCCGATCCAACCACGTAATCTTCAAAGTGATGAGCCCATACTTCATAGTCTTGAGTATAGAGTATGGGTACTCTGGTTGTTGATCCGATGCTGTTTAAGATGTTAATTAGGTTTGTATGTGAATCTTCTTGAGACATGGTGAGTTGCTCAGAATCAAACCTGTAAACTTGAGATTAGGGTTTTATCAAAAATAGAGTTATCGTCGATATGAAGACGATGACTTCTATTTATACGATAAAAGCGAAAACCTTAAAGAATTACGTATACAGAAGGAATGTGTATTGATCACACAGTCTCCTACTCTGATACCAATTGTTAGAACTAAGTTCTTTTAGGATCGTATGATTCTAAGCAAGATACAAAATAAGAACGTAATAAGAACACAAGTATTGCGCTGAATATATCGAATGATAAATGCCATAACACCTCAGAAGAGCTCGATAAAGAACTTCAATCTGTAGAGGCGTTTAGGGTTACAAGAATCAACGTAATGAAAAACTTGTTAATATACGCATACATGCATGCATATATATATATATATATATATATATATATATATATATATATATATATATATATATATATATATATATATATACTATAACCCTAACAATTAATCTAGATACCTACGTAACTAATCTAGATAGACACGGATGGACAGGCCCAATCCGGATACAAAATACTTAGCCCAAGACACAACACAAATATACTCAACACTTCTGAACTTATTTGCTTCTTTTTTCTTCTAAGGAATTTTGGTTATATTCTTTTGTACACTCCTTCTTAATTCCATTTTCTTCATAAAAAAATCCAAAAATATTTTTCTCTTTTGTTCAATTAAATAACTTTCACAAAATACAAAAATATTTTTTAATTTTTTTTAATACCTTTCTTTGTATAAGTGTGATTCTCGATGGTGGAGCTCAGGCAGGTATATCTACTTTATTTTATCCCATTAGTTTGGTGTCCCTAGAAGAATGCTGCTATATGTTGACTAAAGCCTCGAAAGATTTTTAGTGAAGCCTTAATAACATGATATATAAAAATCATGTTTTACCAATTTAGGCTGTACTATTCACTCTAATCATGAGCTACCTTACTCTACTCATATTGAGTTTAGAGTTTGGTCACTCTTTTTCTTTATAGCAGAGGTACATTCGCTTCCTATACCATCTCCACTATTTTTCTCCATTATACTTCATATCATTAATATAACCCCTGAGACTCTGAGCATTTACCACTGAGGTTTATGGTTATACAAAATCTGTGTTAATGATCTTAGTCTCATGCCACTATATACTAACTGAAACCCACAATTCAACACCACAAATGAATTGATGGTGAATTCTCATATTCAAGAGCTTACTTGTTACCTAATGAAGTCGATTTCATTTTTGAGTGATCTTTTATGAATTTGTCTAAAACCAAGGCTTTTCTTCCCTTAAAGATCCTTTTTTTTTTTTTTTTTTTTTTTTTTTTTTTTTTTTTTTTGAGATTTCTATACTTCCTTTTGTCACTATAAAAGATATCTTACCTACTTGTTCAACAAATCACAATGATCTCACAAGTACTTCATTCAATTTCGGTGTCATGTCGAGTATCGAAATCATGAATTGAAGCGAAAGCCACCCTTTATAACCTTTAAAAGACGCCTTTCAATAATTCTTAACAAGTTATTGATCGTTATTTAATGGGAAACCAAGGAAGCACTTCAATGTATCCCTTGACTTTGAAGGAAGTGATTCATGCCCATAATCCATTGTTTTATGTCTATTTAAGGCATCACAGATTATCCCAAAACATTTGCTTTATTTCTTTATCTTTCACACTCTATGCACGAAAATTTTAATTTTCCACATTCTGGTTCTTTTAATGATGTTCAATAAGGCATCACAAGCAACGATGATTCAAATGTTTAAGGAGTGACAATTGGGATAACCTGGAAGTTGACTCATCATTTATCCAATTGGTTTGGTGATTTGAAAAAGAACAATTTATGGAATGGCGTGCCAAAAAGGAAACGTCCTTTCTCTTTCCTGCGTCATCCTCGGTATGCCAACTGTTCACCCGTCAAGTCAGGCGCTATTTTTGAAATAATCGATGATCTCAGCCGGATTTTTCTCTCTCCTCCTTGTACGTATAAAAGGGATTCGAACGGTACTCTTTAACCTTTACCACTTTACAAATTCTCTCAAAGAACAATAGCGCTCTCACTTACTGTTCATCATCTTCTTCACGCTACTATAATGGCAGACTCTTCGTCCGTTCATGATACTTCTGTTCGTCAACCACTTCTCACAATCAAACTCCAACAGAACCTGATCATCGATCTCACTCTGTTTGTTTATGAGCCTTACATGCTGTATGTTGTTGAGTGTCTCAAATACTCACCTCTCGTCGAAGCACTCACCAAGGTCAAAGTCGTTCCAATGTCGTGCCTTTCTATTGTCTACTCTACTACCTACTACGACAATATTCACAAAAGGATTCACTTTGAAATCCACAATGAGAAGACCTCTATCTCCAAGCACCACTTCTGTGCCCTAACTGGTCTTTCTCAAGAACAATCTCTGGTAAATCTTGAATCCATCACTACTGGTCAATTGTTTTCTATGTTTTATAAGATGGGATATACCGAAACCCTCACCACAATCACAAAGTTCAAGAAGTCCTGCCTTCCTCCCCAATGGAATGGCCTTTTCACGTTGCTGTTCAAAGGACTCTTTGAGCGAAGCGCTGGATTAGATGGTGCAAGCAAGTCTTTCATGACTGTGCTATATGGGCTGTACCATGAGATCAACTTGGATTTTGGAACTCTGATCTGGCTGCAGTTGGTACAAAGCTTGGTATCTTCATCCAGGCACTCTGAGATCTCATGTGGGAGATTTTGGACAATTATCACCAACTAGGCAATGAACCTCCTTCATGTTCCAATCATGGCAGACTCTCTTCTCTCCTCCATTGCTACCTTTCATACAACCAAAATTATTGTCACCGATCCCACCAAGTACTCATTTATTAGATCTATTCCGGAAGCCATGCTCGCTCCTATCTCTACGTCGAGTAACGTTCTCCAACAATACATGAAGCATCCATCTTCAGGTCCAAGGGAGCTTACCCTAGCCATGGTTCGCTGTATTGACGAGACTGAAAAACCTGCTAAAAGGGGCAACAAACCTAAAACCCACAAAGAGGCACAAGTTTCCAAACCCACCAAATGGAAAACCCCTAAGAAGAAAAAGTCTGATAAGGCTGTTACCTCACCTCCCCAACCGAAGAAGCTGAAGAAGCCTGCTAGGAGGCTAATACTACAATCATCGAGTGACTCAGATTCAGAGTATGTTCCTCCCCAACATAAGATTGCTTCTCTTTCAGAATTTGAGAATGAATGCTCTGATGATTAGGCTTCAGGTTGAGGTGATACTCCACCTCACTCACCTACCCCAGAAACTCCAGTTTGCTCTCAACCTCCCTCACCTCCACCTGTAACCATCCCAGTATCTATCCCTCATATTTGTCCCATTCCAACCACTCAACCATTCACTACAATTCCCATCCCTATTCCCAGACACTACCACTACCACACTAGGTGCTCATTCTACCTCCCCCACTCCACCAATAACAACTGAACCACCTGTCACAATCGAACCTCCAGCCACAACCAAACCCTTATCTCCCAATCAATCTACAGAAACCACCCCTATTCTAGGCGGTGAGGACTTGGAATTTGATTCCACGTATTTCAGTCCTTACCGTAGAGTGACGATGATGATGCGCCGGTTACAAAGCGTCATCTCAAGGCAGTAAACGAAAAGCTTGATCAACTGCTCTCATCCTCTTCCTCTGGAGCTCACTCTGAAGAAGCTTTAATGGCCTTGTTCTCATCTGTTGTCAAAGAACATAGTGTCTCACTCTCTGCTACCGCGAAAGCCATTGAAGCCTCTACTTCACAGTGTCAACAAGCCTCACTTGTTGTTGATGCTTCTATTAAGGAGTGCAAGGAAGCGACCGCAAAAGTCAAAAAACTAGTTTCTGAAGCTCAACTGGTTTTAGATTCCTTGCAGGTTGTTGCTCAGAAGAATGCTCAAACCGTCAATGCTTCAGTGGATAATCTTCAGCGGTCCCTTCAGTCTGAAAGATCCAAACTTAAAGCTAAACGCCAAGTGATTGAAGCTGCAAACGCCTCTCTACATGCTAATGTCAATGATCGTCTCACTCAAATTGAGGCCGAATTAGCTGTAGAGAATCGCATCACGGATGAGCTTGACAGGCGAACCTCACAGCTGAAAATGCAAAACTACAAGCTGCGTACTGCTACTTCTGAGCTCAATGATCTGAAGTCAGAAAAGGAGGTCATTCGGAGTTCGGTGGCTGATGTTCACTCCATCCTCCTTCATCTCCTTGAAGCACACAATCCAATCATCACCATTACCACCAGATGACATCTGGCTGATAGACTTAGGCCAGCATTGGACATCCTTAGTCGTATCAAGGGTGTTCCGGTGACTGGTGTCCAACCAAAAAAAGGGGGAGAAAAGCAAACTCAACCTCTTACTGGACCGGGACCATCCACTGAACCGAAGGGTAATGAAGCTTTGGTCAGTAACAAAGGGAAAAAGAAGAAGATAACACTAATGATGAGGATGACGTATATGTTGAAAATCCTAAAAATCCTTTTCAGAAGATAAAGCTCTCTGAAAAAGAGCTAGAAGAAAAACTCAAGAAACAACAGGCTGAGCTAGAGCAAAAGAAAAAGGAGACGGAGCTCCTAAAGAAGAAAAAGTCCATGTTTCCTGTGTGGACTGCAGTTTCGCTTTAGAGATGCACAATCGATGAGCCAAGCATACTTTGGCTTGATCCAGTAATGTCATTTCGGCTCGAGAACTCCAAGGATGCACAATTCGACATGCCAATCACCCGAAAGCCATTTGTCTTCCATTGCTTCAATTCGACTGCTGTTATTCCTTCCCCAGACTCGAAGGTAGATAGGGATCTGTTGGAGCTCTACTTGGAGTTTGCTCAACCCCAATACTTGAACTGGAGTTAAAGAAGATCACAACTGTCAAGGTTTTGAAGCCTTACTCAGCGGGGAAGTTTGTTAACGTTCAATTCAAAGTGAATCGAGGCACCGAAGGCTCGGTTCACAACTTCACCCTTGCTGATCTACCAAACCTGACTCCCCACAATTGGATACTCCTCAACAATATTCTATTGTCAAATCCACAAGAGTACCAACCCATAATTGACCATGTCAAGAGAATGCTTGTGTGCTACATTCACAAGGTAGCGAAGATGGACCAGGAGATTTCCTCTGCCATTCACAAGCGAACCACGATTAAGGCTATAGGCAAAGCAGGCAAGGTCAACACTATGGTCAAGGGTTAGATTGATACGGATTATCAAACTGTTATGTTCCTCAGGGGCGAAGGTCAAAAATGTCTGTTCGCTCTCGTTGACAAAACAACTCTTCTCAACATCATGCATGGAGCATATCTTAGAGATTATTCATAGGTGTGATTAGAACAGTGCCACTGATAAGAAATTATTCACTGACATGCTGAGGTGGTACATACAGTTTCGACAGACACTTCTCGCAATAATTCCTCGTCTGTTCAAAGTAATAAAGACAGTGAAGCCAACACAGAAGAAATGATCTGTCGCCTCATTTGACGCAAAGGGGGAGATTGTTGGGATTATTAGATTGCATCATGGGCTCGGTCCTTAGCCTAGTTATTGATTGTCGGTCTTGGGCCTGTCCAACCGTGCATGTTTTGTACTAGGGTTTAGTATATAAGCTGCATGCATGCAGTCTTAGATGTCATCACTTTTATTATTTATTTTCTCTAAGTTTTGTAAACCCTAGCTCGCCTCTACAATGAAAGTTCTTTGTTGAGCTCTGCTGAGGCGTGACTTTATTTTGAATCATAAGCATACATTTGATTCCATCCTGTGTTCACTTTCATATTGTTTTTGACTTGTTCGATTTCAATAATCATACCTGTGAAAGATCTAATCGACCTAGAGTTTGATTGTCAACAATAAGGATTACGGAGATATAAAGAATATCGAAATCTGAGTTATAACGAAGAGGTTATGATTTGTCGAAGTTTCGCGAAAGAACCGACACAACAGTGTATGACGTAAATAGCGAATTTACGATAAAGTGCTTTTTAGCATTAGTGATCTAAATGAAAGTCGTAGTCTTTGTTAAACCGAGAGCATGCATAAAAGAATGTCCAAATCTGACTTCGTATGAGGAAGTTATGAATTTTCTAAGATTTGGCAAAACAATATGCAGCCTCAAACTCGAATTTTAGATCAAGTGATTTTTAGATGAAACAACCTAAACGAGAATCGAAGATCTCGTTAATAGTAGTTTGACGGTAAAAAGATAGACGAAAACGGATGTCGGACGAAGAAGTTATGAATTTTTAACAGACTTTTCCTATCCAGGCCTGTTAAAAATATAACTTTAAAAATAAACTAAAAGTTAGCCGACAAAGTCTAAACGAAAGTTGTAGAGCATAGTCTCACCTACGTGGGGATATAAAGAACGTCAAAAATGAATTTCATATGCAAAAGATATAAATTTTTGAAGTTCGGAACACAAACTTCGAGGTCTGACCAACTCACGACGTGTAAAAGCATGGTTCACGATGTGAACTAGTTGAATGACACCATTCGAGCCTAGAAGACATAAGACAAGCCGACGTGAACCTCAAATTTTCATCCTTTAAATAGAAAGCAAAGCCTTCGTTTTTTTGTTTAGAAAACCTATTCTCTTAAACTTCAAACTCTCTTTTAAGCCCCTTTACATTACCTCGAAGCCCCGGTATTATCACCGACATCTGAAGCAAGTCCCGACGCTCCAAAGTTCCCGAGAAAAATAGTTTTCGATCCGAAACTCTGCCCACGTAAAGCCCGATTTTTGAGAAAACATCCCGATTTTCATCAGAAAAGATTATTTTAAGAAATGATGTGCTGCCCAATTTTTGTTAAACCAAGTGAGTGTGTAGTCACTTTCACATTAGACATATATATGGAGTATTTTCTATAAAATACGTGCTATTTTTACTTTTATTGTTTGTTAATTGAGATGGGTGTTGAATAAATGTTTTATACAGGTTTTAAAATGATTTAAACTGTATATGTATTTTTATCTACAAATATGTTGGATATAACACGGGTAGATGAAATAGTTGGTGTGTTTAAAATGATGAGAGGTCTCGATGTTGCTGTTGTTCTAGTCATCTAGCAGAGTATAGATGGCGACCATGGACCTTTCTAGACAGTCCAGTGGAACGCTAGCAGGCTCGCAACCTGTAGGTGTGGGTGAAGTATATGTTTGCTGCTGGACTCAATCCCCTCATGGTCTCCTGAAGGACATGTATGACTGAGGAATCCCCTTAGCAGTAGTGTCCATCCCGATGATGATCCTTAGGCTAGGTGTAACACCCCAAAACTGAGAACGGTGGAAACATTATGGGACGGAGGACATCATGTATAGTATCACAACACAGTAATAGTAAATAAGCAAACAAACATCATCCATTGCATTAAATATATAATTTTAATACATGTGTTTTCTGTGTAATGTAATAGACACAAAAAATGAATGATAAAAGACGAGTCTTGTCTATGCTCCGTCTTCTCAAAAACCTATCACCGGTACTTGTCTACTGATGACCTGAGAATACAAGTTATTTTGAAAGCATAGATCAGCATTTAAGCTGGTGAATTCATAAGTATTTTAATGTCTTTGATTTGTAAAACCGTAAGGAAAATACTTGTAAATGTTTGATGATACAGTTCGTATAGGTGTGAAAACTCTAGAAAATCCTATATTTCCTACTAGTGTAAAATGTAGTTTTTTACCAAGACCTGACTGTTTTGTATGTTTGTTTCTTGTAAAAGTGTGTAATTTTCCCATGTGTAACTATTATTATCAAAATATAGTCTACTTCATCGTGTATGTGAATGTGTCACAAAGTAAAAGTAAAAGGGAACATTATATCAACATGTAAGTATTATCCTTTGGTACTAGGATAAACACGACATAGTGACTTGCCGAATAGTAATAACCGTAGACATCCATCGATGTGAATTTTCCCTCTGTAGCTAACAACTGGATGTAGAATGGTTAGTCCTGTACTTATATAACAATATCTACACATATAATATGTAATAGTAACTCATCATATAGTATGTAATCGTATCTCTTCCTATAGTATGTAATAATATCTCTTCATATAATATGTAATAGTGTCTCTTTCTATAGTATGTAATAGTGTCTCCGCATATAGTATGTAATAAAATTGTATAGACTCATGACTGAACTGACTCTTGTATGTTCCATTTTTACTAGGAATAGTAGGCAGTGTTTCCCCAAACTATACCCATTATA